TGTTCCAAAAATTGAATAATATTGGTTTTGAATAGTGCTGTTAGCTTTTTTTTTGCAATCAAACCTGGTTACTTATTTATTCATTTCATCATTTAAAGCAATGTATTGATGGATAAGCAATTATAATATATCAAAACAATGTAATATTCAATTGTTTCACATATGTGAACTCTAATAACATACTGGCAGTAGAGTCTGCAGGAAAATCAGATCAAAATTTCACTACAGTTTAAAAGGACTTCTTTGTTCTCTGCATATTTCCTTTGAATCTCATACCTGATTTAATGAATGAGTATGTAAAACAGGTTGCACATATTTTAGTGGTAATTTTGATACTATTGATCAGCAGTTTGCTTGCATTTATTGTTCACGGTTTGAATCACATGAAAAGAAAGAGTATACTTCTAATGAATCTCTGGTATTAGCATGCCATTTTTGAGTTGTCAAAATTGCTATTACAAGTGTAGTATTTTGGATCCTTTTTAGATAGAATATCTAAGCAAAGCAATTATGAGCACACCCATTTTACAGCTGAGAAAACTGAGAATCAAAGATGGATAGGCACACCAAACACAAAATTGATGTTGCATTTCCCAAATTATTTTAAACATAATTCAAATATATTCTCAACATCATGATGATTTTTGTTAACAATAGATGTCACTTGAAGCAGAACTTATTTTTCTCATCATTGAAAACAGTTTGTTGACATTTCTGACCTATTCACACCCTGGCTTTGACTCATTTCTAGCTCTGATCTTGGATTCTGCCTGCTCTCTTTTCTCCCTAAGTAACATGACTTTAATGAATCTGGACTCCTGTTGTTGTCACACATTCCCCAGTGAGACATCAACATTCTGACCACAAATTTAAAAATAAGTTCAGAAAACAATGATAGAAAGTAGATTTTTCTACCAGAACTAATAGGTATTCCCGGGCTATTCCTTCCCTGTTTTTGCACAGCATATGCTCTTTATAAATAATGTCAGAAATGGGTCTTCGTTCTTTTAGTAAGGTGGTCATTTAATGTAAGTAAATCCACATTAAATATTGAAGATCAGAAAAAAGCAGCCTCTTCAAAGAGGTCACATTTAAGTGAAGAAAAAAAAAATAAAACAATGTGTGGGGAGAGGGCCAGCCTGGTGCTGGATGGCACAGAGTTAATGGCTCATGGAGAGCATATACATGTTTTTTAAAGATGTTTTATTGCTTACAAAAGGAAGTAGTCTTGAGAGACTGGATACATAAACTGGCTCCAGCCAGCTGCGGCTGTCGGACTAGGAAGGATCCTGTTCAATTAGTGTTGTAAAATAAAATACTTTGTAAAGGAAATAAACACATTGTGAGCTAAGATTCATGCTTTCAAATATACACAAGGTTTGAATTTTTAATTAGGGTTGCTAATTACAGTCATCAGAAAGCAGAACAGAATAGATTTTACCTTACATTTAGCAGACAAGCCTTCAACCCCAGTGTATTTTTCAATTTCATTAATATTTTATGAAAATGGCCCTTGCAGCTTCAGCCTATTCCAGTCTCCTACAAAACTGCCCCACATTATGGATGCCAATGCCTTTAAGCCATGTACATTAGTGTGATGACAAAATGCAAAACAGCATCTTGTCAACCATTGCATCAATTGATTCTATTAGATAGTGTAAAAACAGTTGGGTGTGAGTTATAATCTCAGTGACACTAATGATGAAGCAAGATACTGGCTGAGAACAGCCATTAGCTATAAGCCCAAAATTAATGATTCTAATATTTTTGAACAAATTAACCTTAATGAACTGGTCTTGCAAATACTGTATTATCCACAGATAAGTCAGTTAGTGGAACAAAACCACTACAAGTATATGTGAGAAACATACGCACATATTAGCATTAAACAAACACAAAATTTATATGTAGCTGTTTTATGTTTACCCAGTTCTCATGCTTGTTTGCAACTCAGATACAATATAGATACAACTAGTCACTTCAGATTAAGATGTAATTGATAATGATTCAATATTTTATAAAATTGCCTGTAACATAGTGGGATAAATAAAATATTTCCCAAAGTTGAAAGGTAAGTGACTGGCATAAAATAAAGTTTATATATTTAGCATACAAGGGACTTTGCTAAATGTAAAGTGAGTCTTTTTGAAAGTTACTGAAAAGAATATCATGTCTCCATGTCTGTTTATTTTGTTAGGTTGAGTTTTGACAAGCAGTTTTCATAAGCTAAGCCATGCCCACATCCTCTTTGGAATGAAGTGTCAAGTTACCCCTCCCCCAATAAAAGCTTTGGAAAAGTTACTTCAGTGATTCCCAAACTACACATCAATGGCATAGTTTTGAAAAGTAAGAGATATTAAAGATACAGCACTCTTATTAGCTGTTTCTGCACAAGAAAAAACGTTATACCATAGTTTTGACCCACTCTTACATTGTCTGTGATTATTAGTGTTGTCAATGTTAATGGGATTTAGTGAGCTGAAATGAATTTTACAAATAAATGGAATATGCCACCCTAAAACAGTTCAATATCAAGTCAAGTGTAGCTCAAAAAAGCATATTAATCATTCTCACAGTTTTGTGTATGAGATTTCCTGCTTGTTTCCTCCACATAGCGCAACTTGAGCTTTTCTTTATTCCAAATGTTGCACTCATGTAACCACAACTGTCATCACAAAGGTCTTCCACTGCTTCTTTTTTCTTTTTCTTTTTTTTTTTATTGTTTAGTTCCTACTCCAATCTCTGGTCCCAAATTCTGAAGACCCATTCACAAATACTGTACAAAACCCAAATGGCTAATTTCTAGGAGAGAAAACAAAAGTAAGGCACTTGCCAACAACAGTTTGTTGGCTTAACTTTGACTTGCTTTCCTGGGAAGGAAGAAAACAGAATTTTCAATGTGAACTGTCAGCCCTTGTTATTACAGTAGCTTGCTAGTGAGAGATCCAGTCTCTCTACCATTGGCAGAGAGAAGCAAAGAGACCCTCCAAACAGAATTCTTTCAAGCTTCCTCTACAACTCCACTTAAATAATTTACTTTTTATTTTTTTTCTCAGACTATTCTTTTTAGAGTTGGCTGACATGTGCATTGACAAGCGAGCTTTACTACAGAAGATAACTTGTATACTTAGAAAGGGAAAAAAATCACAAAAATTCCTCCATCTCTGAGAACAAGAGAGCTACTATATTTACTTTGGGGAAATACAAGTTAGCCTATATTCTGTCTCAAGCTAGGGAACTAAATATAAATTAAAATACCTAAAATAGTTTCTTCTGAAGAATAGTGTTTACCTAATTTAAAAACCAAACCAGTGGCAGTGTACCTAATTTAGCAAACTCGAACAGTCCAGGGAGCTGTTAGATTTAGGCAGAAAAGTTTTAAATCTGTTCATTAGAACATAATACATAAAGCCATTTAATCCATGAAAGCTTAATTTTAAAATTCATCCTTTTAAAGTTCTGACAGCTACTGAGGAGTTTAGTAGAGGAATAAATGATGTGGAAATAATGTCTTAAGTGTTGCTACTGATTTTTTAGACCCTTGGTTTCACACTTCAATATTTATGATGATGCTTACTGACTAAAATAGAAGGTAGAAGGACAAAAGGGCTATTTAGGTCACTCATATACATTTGGATTATAAATGGAATGAATGACCTATGCTGACTAAGTACCTTTACATGGATACAAAAAAAAATCCTTTCATACTTATTATACTGTAAAAAGACTAAAATAAACTTCTTTGCAGAGAGAAATAGTTTATGAATTGATTTTAAAAGGTTATGGTTGCTGAACTATAGTAAAATATTCTTTTAATTAAAAATCGTTTCTCTTCCTCTGTTCTTAAAATGATTTTATGCAGTGCCTTTTCAGATGTTTCACAAAATTCTATCTAGTATACAATTTCATACTATATCAAACATATTTTATTTGTTTTAAAATATTTTTTTCATTTTAATTTTTTATAGAAAATACAGAAAAGTAGAGAGACAGACCAGAGAGACAGAGACAGGCAGAGAGACAGACAGACTAAAAGATCGCCCATGTGCTATTCCTCCCTAAGTGCCTGCAACAGCCAGGGCTGGACCTGGCCAAAGGTAAAAACCTGGAACTCCTTCTGGGTCTCCCACAGGGGTGGCAGGGACTCAACTACTTGAGCCATCATCTACTGCCTCCTACACATTAGAAGAAGATGGATTAAATGTAGAGTAGCCAGAGTTGATCCAGACACTCTGATATGGGATGTAGGTAACCCAAGTGGCAACTTGACCACTGTGCCAAATGTCCACTACTGGAATGTGTTTTATTAGATAATATGTTAGCAAAAACATTTCTCCTTCATATTCTTCCTCCTTTATAAATCTTCTGATTATTATTAGGAGAAAACAACCTGACATAGAGGATACTGCTTGTCCACAGACAATTGACATTAACTACTTTTACCTATGAGGTCTTCACTAGTAGCTGGGAATGTAGTACTTTATTACCAGACCCAACATTATATTCAGGCTAAGGCAACAAGTTGCATAATTACTCTAGAATAATTTGCTGTGAAATGTACTTTTAACTTTCAGTGGAAAATGCATGTAAAATTATTTTGAGATTAATAATGAGTTTAGGCAAGCCCAATTTTTACTAAAGGCCTATAATGCTTATACTTATAGCAATGGATTTTCAAATTTGTAGCAAGTGAATATTTTGGAATTTATATGCAAATGGTTAGTGAAAGAAAAACCTTTTGATCAACTGGTATTCCAAATAAAATGTACTACAAAATTGAATTGATACAGAATTTGACATATGTTGGTTCCCAGCCTTTAATTCATCTAAGAAATTATGTAATGCAAAAAAAAAAATAAAAACTTTAGTGGCTTATAATCTATGACTATGAAGTAAACTCAAAATAGTTGTTCTTTATATCGATTTTTATATTAATTAATTAATTCCTTCATTTATTCTTTCATGTATTCTTATTGCACTCATGAATTGAGTATCTATACCTGAGATAACCTGAATCCAAATCCGTTATATGGGACTCATTAAATTGAAGTGAGTCCTATTTAAGAAGTGCTGTAACTGAAAAATAAACAATAGATTTCTCATTAATATTAAATTTTAAATCAATTATATGTTGAAATGATATTTTATCTATTATCTTAAATAGAATATGTTACATAAATTCATTTTACTTGCTTCATTTTTGTGCAACAACTACTTTAAAATTACATATATCATGTACATTATTTTCTATTGACTAATGTTGATCTACAAGATAGTAAACACTGTGATAAGCTCCAAGAATTTAAAAATGAACATGATAGTGACCTGGCCTTCACAGAGATTAGTTTAGGGCTAATATGATAAGTCTGGAGTAAAAATTCTAATGACCTAATTTTCCAGGGACTTGCAACCCAAAGCTTTTTAAGTTATTATTATTAATTGTTGTATCTGCTGTAAAAGTCATTTAACGCCTCCAGTAATCTAGAAAACTCTCTACTTTTGTCAGATTATCCCAACATTGAGTTTGAATAACTTCATCACTAAATTGAATTTGCCAGTTACACTAACTTTTTATGGCAAGAAGACTTAGTCTCTTTTCAGGATTTTAGTCTCATGGAGAGGCTGAGCTTGCTGCCAAGCCCCTGGACAGGTGTCTGCAGGCAGATTCCTAGCAATATTTGGCCTGGCAATTGCCATTCAACAGCCCCCCGCCCCCTTTGCCCAGGGTCATTGGCAGGGCCATTCAGGGAGAGTAGACTCAACTTTCTTCTGTAGCTATGACTTTGGCCTCATTAACACTTCACTTCTACCCATACTGATTTGATCCAGATGGAAAGTAGTGACTACATTATCCTTGGAAAAGGCACATATGAAGAGATCTTGCATCATGAAAGCAAGAGAATCTCATTCATCTTCTATCATGGCATTGCGGATGACATTAATTATTTTCTGCAACCATAAACAATAATTTAGTTTCTCAACAAATAGCTTTACTTCTGCTATGGCCTGATAGTCTCCTGGTCCCCATGACAAAATACTGCAATCATTATAAGCAGTTCTTTTCTCCCCCATATTTTCCTCAGAATAGCTTTTATTAAGATCAATTAATTTTTGCTTGTACATATATGAAACAATTTCAAAAAGGGATAAAAGAATGTTTGATATTCCAGTAAATACATTTTCCTTATGACCCTTCCAAAATATTTCATATGTAGAATCATGACTTGGCAATCATGTCAAATTCAGTCTTGTGAAGATAGGCAAATCTGTTTGCTCTGTGTCTCACTCCCTGGTCTAGACTCCCTCGCTTTCTACCCAACTGGAGACTGGTGGAAAATGCCTGATAAGGATGACAGGCCACAGCGCCCTCTCTTTGTGATGAGGTTGATGGCTTTGTCAATTCAGTCCTTCATTAGGTTATAACCTTCAATAGGTTACAACTCCAATGGTTTACCTAAGTTTCTCAGATTTGCTTCTGTTCTTAAATATACTCCCTTTACAACTAATTTAGAGCCGAAAAGATGAGAGGATTGACTGGAAACATTTTAATTGTTCAGAGAATCAACCAAAATATTGGTTTTCTGCAAACCTTTGATTAAGGTTGCTTATATTTATGTTGGGTCCTAGGCCCCACAGAAGATAGCCAATTTTCTCACATTCTTGACATATAACCAACTTAGTAGATTTTGTTTCCCATAAATCTAGTCATTAAGAAACATTGCTATAATACTAACTAGAAGAAGAAAATAATATTAAGCCACAGTTTACTCTTCCTTTTTTAGTTTATGCAATAATATATTATTTACTCTGGATTATTTTCTACTGAACTCAAATAATCTATGCAGAAATTTTATCACAGTGGTAGATGGAATGCAATATCATTGCTCAGGATGAGATTTTTAAACACCAAAATGTCAAAAATTAAAATGTGTCTTCATTTTTATATATTGTTCCATTATAATAAAAAATGGTCAAGTTAGACACTCTTCACAGATAGATAAAGCACAGTATTAGCTGAAAGCTTTGGTTAAAATATGCAAAAGCCCTTACAAGTATCTTTCAGAGTCTAGCGAGAATAACATTTATATGACAATTATTTTAGGAAAAAAATGATCACCTCGAAGTTCTACAATTGTCTTCAATTAAATCAAAGTAAATTTCATCTTAAACATCATTTTTGTCAATTTGTAAAAGATACAATAAAATTTTATGTATATACAAAAATAAATGGGCTGTATAGAAGCTCTATCTAATTTATCCTGAGAATATTTTACCATTTAAATGAACACATTTGTAAATTATATCAGAAAAACATGAAGACAGTAAGGATAGATTGCAAATCACCTTTGTAAACCTCCATGCAATTTGAGTTGTTAATAGAAGCAAAATTCTAATAACTTAATTACAATTATATTCCAACTTAATTAGAAAATACATGGTTAATTACATGAACCTATAAGCACTTAATATTGTAGTTATCACTACATCCATTAAGAATGAATTACTGATATTTTCTACTGTTAATACATAGTTAATTAATGATTAAACAGTATTTTACTGCTCACTCATTAATGATTTATTACAATAACTTAAAGAGTTTCTCAGTTTTGACTGCCCTAAATAGACATCTTAATACTACTTTAGTTTTACCTTCCATTTTACTGCTTATGTGTTTTTCATTTTCATTATAGTACCCTGATCCCTGTTTAACTCTAGCTACCAAATACCTTGAGAAACTGGTCAGTAAGAGCTACCCACTGACCTGTGTGAATGTAACTGCTAGCATTGAGCGTGAGAATGCATGTAGACCTTTATTTGTCAGTTCAGCTATGGTCTTTCCACTCTGGATAGTTGTTCTTAAGCTAAGAGTGGGCAAAGGGATGATGGTACACTAAAACCAGCTATGGAACTGGCAATTATTTTAAAAATCTGCTTCCTGTTATAGCACCTAAACTGCACACAGGTTGATTCCAATGTTGCCTAATGGGACCATAATTCTATAGGTTTGTTCAGGTAGAGAGAGCTTCTCACTTAGGGGCCTGTCATGGGACTGCCCTTCTTATGACTGTGTGGACTGAAACTCAAGTCAAGTAATTCTGTGTTTCCAGGCATCCTGGTAGTGAGAGGAATCTCTAATATCTTACTGTGCAGTTCATTTGGACATGGCCCATACGGTGAGATATAGCAGTTGATGGAACTTGTACTTGCTAGGAACTGATTCTATCACTAATGTACTTGTCATTGCTTCTGGATTTGCCTAGTCTCCCAGAATGCAATTATATCTTCTGATATGTGTCTGACAACCAGACTGAGGTGTTTTTCTCCCATTTTGGGAAATTTCATGGAAATGGCTTCTGGGGTGTGACATTGCAATCTTAATGCCTGTCTTTATGTATCTATTTGTCCTTATCAGGGGTGTCTGTGGCTGCTAGGAGACTGTGTGTAGTTTGTTTAGAAATGACAGTAATGCTCTGGAAATGGCTTTTCTTTTCTCGAAAATGACAGACATGTGGTGAAGGGGAAACTACTAAAATTAACTCCCTTTTCTCTCTTACCTTTTAAAAAATAGAGCTTTAAATGCAGACTGTCACAGGGAGTGCAGTGGTTTTGCATCTGCTATGGAAGAACAGAGAACATTAATCCTTACCACAATCATCTTAGAAATACTGATAATCCTTATGTGATGAAAATTTGACTGTATTCCTGCACTATGAACCACTTTACATTTAGCTGTTGTCTAATTCTATATAAAATCCATGTTATTTTTTAAAAGCTCTGTTTGTTGTATGTCTCTTTTAAAAAAAAAATAACTTACTCTAAAGTTTTATGTAAAACAACACTTCTAGGTGTCTAGGAATAGAAAAAAAGTCAAAATTTAAATGCTGAGCTAGAACAGAGAAGACAGTTTGTTATGGGATTATTGCTATGCTTTGTAAAGAGAACTGACAGAAACAGAATTGAGTATGGCCCAGAACAGAGATGGAAGTCAGATTAAACATCACTGGTTAGTGCTTTTTATTAATTACAGAGTATAAAGGCTGATCCCAGTTACATATTTGGGTTAAGGGACAATATCCTCAGAATGATAAAATGTCATATATAGACTAAATGAATCATATAGTTACATGTGATAAAACAATCAGAGTGTACATTCCTAGAAAATGTTAGCAATCAATCATATTTACTTTCACTATACAAGTGATGTTTGGGTTTACAGTTTCAAAATCCTTTTGATACCACTTATTGGCAGCCAAGTTTTGCCAGAGGTAACTTTTTTTTTAACTTATTTGTATGTTAACTGTGGACCTCCCATGAAGCAGGAATCCAACATTTGATAAATACATTGAAGGTGGGATATAAAAAGAACCTAAATAAAAGTAAGGGTTGTTTACACATTCTGCAAATATTATACAAGCTTAAAGCAAGTGAGTATTGGTCTTTGATAACTTTTGAAGGTCAGTTTAGATATCTTTATTTTATTCGATCAGTGGATGTTTATATTATGCAATTAGGTTCTCGCCTAAATTGTAGAATTTGTTCTCATTTGTTCACTTACTCCTTCATCACCCGTCTACTAATTTTTGTTGGCCATTTACTATGTGACAGGCACTCCACTGAGCAAGGACCCAGAGACAAATTTGGAATTGGAATTGACAGTCTCTCCAGTGGTTGGTAACATTGTGGCATTCTAAACAGTTGATGGGTCTCAGAAGACCAAAATGTCAGTATTGAAGCAAAGTATCAGAAGACAATACCCCTGTATTTTTTGTTTTGTTATGGCAATAATCTCTAATGAGTCGGCTAAAAAATTACAATAGATGTTGGCAGGGCTATCATCCAAAGTATCTTTTGTAGTTTCACCTAGGAGATAATCAGGAATTAATCCTCCTACAGCAACTTGAGGTAGATGAAATTCTACCTGGTACAAGGACAAAAATAAATGTGAGTTCTTGGGGATGCAGGTATCTTTATTAGATACAGAGAGGTTCCATCTCCACTTTCAGGTTTCCGGTCCTCTCTTATATTGGCCCCCATAGAACACCTACAGTGTGCCTTGTATAAGGGTCCTTGTGTTTGAAAGAAACAGCAACATTGACTGCCATCAAGGATAAGTCATGACCAAGTGACCAGGAAAAAGAGAAAAGGATAAAACAACATGTTGTCTCAGTTTTCGTGAGTCTGAGCAAAGGAGTCTTTAAGCTAGATAGGGTCAGTTTGGAGCCAAGTTTTGTTCTCAATACTAATCAGATAACTACAAATGGAGGAATTTTCCAACTCATAATCCCTGTACCCACTTGGTTGCTCTCTTACAATATATGCAAAATTTTGAGTGCATATGAAAATTTTAGGAATGGGGTTGCAACTTGCATTATATTTTTAAAGGGTCTACCTCTAGAAATTATGAATAATTTCTTTAAAAAAGTCATTTGAGTGAGAATACCATTGCATCAATATTTATTTCAATTAATTCTGGAGTGTTAATCTTTCATATGAGATTATTTCCTTCAAGTTAAGACAAAAATTCAGCTAAGATCTATGATTAACTGATGAAGCTAAGAGACTAGAAAACTGTTGGCTTGCAAGTTCATTTACATATTGTGCTTGAGCCCAGGTAGGTAGACAAGAACAGAAAGTATTTCCTGCTAAGGGACAAAAAAGGAATATTTTAAACAATAGATATCATTTGGCATGCTGACAGGGTCCATAACCTAAGCTAATTTCTCTGGCACTATATGTACTCATCATAGAACTTTATATCATTTCCTAGTCTTAAGAGCCATGGTAATTCTTATTGGACTGCTGGCTATGAAAGATCTTCCATCTTCAAAGAGGAATAAAATAAATTTAAATATTCCTATATTTCTCAATTATGGATCAATGTAGTTTGTTCTCCTATTAGGATATTTTTGTGATTTCAAACTTATTACTTGAAAACTTTGCACAGCAATACTTTATTCTATCCCAAATGCACCATATGTCACATTCTACCTTCCTAAGATAGACACCAGGTGTCAGAAAATGGCAGGCTCTCGGTGGTTAAAGCTGAAGGTAATAGTCCTTGGCATGTCTAAATGCACTTTAAGAAAAAAAAACTTTTTCTATGAATAAAAGATGTGGAAAGGGCAGTCATGCTAAGATACCATTTTTTAAGCACATAATCATTTGGATAAGTGAAAGATTTCCTGTAAAAGTAAGGTACTTTGATATTTTTTAATAAGATATACTATACACAAATGAATAGAATCAATCAGCTTAAAATTATATAAATAAGAAGCCAACAACAATGAACAAACACCTCTCTGAAAAAAAAGTAAATTATCTTTTCTGGGACCAAATATCATGGAATGTATTAATTCTGACGTTGAGCTTTGACAAGCGTGGTTATGTTTAAGTGTTCTAGTGAAGAAAGGAGAAAGTATATGTATATTTATTTCAATCTAAATTATGTCCCTCGACAACATATTGGAGACTGAATTTATATCTACCTATGAAATTTCCATTTAAGATGCCAGATATAGGCAAAAAGCTCAAATTACTTGGAGGTATAATATTTTAATATGCTAACTCCAGATGGAACTTTTATAGATTCACAAATAGCATAGTTCACTGCACTGGAATGCTAGGTCCAAATGGTAGATCCCTTCTGAGGTTACAGTTTAGAGTAAAACAGATTTATTAATAATCAATGCACTCATATGACCAAGAATGTTATCACCTCATCCAAGATGGAAAACAACAGGAAACTTAAGCCAAGAATCATTCTATTTTTGCCCTTCTTACTATATGCATTGGAAAAGAACCCCATTGGTCCTTTTTAAGCTAGTAATGTCTAATGCAGGAAGACAGGAATAAGCAGAGTAGAAAGCACCTGTCAGCTCTATTTCCCACTCTCCTTGATTAGCATGAAACATTAATAGGGCTTTCAGAAATTCTGGCCTGAAATAGGCTCTGCTTGAGAATGTGTCTGTCTGCTGCACAAAAGCCACTGTCATTAAAAAAGGACAGATAACTAAAGAAGACTCTTTCTTGAAATTTATACCTTTTTTCATACAATGACAAATTATTTTAATAATGGGAATCACACACACTGCCATTTGTATAATGTTTCCCATAAAATTCCCCTATTAAATTTGCTCCTTTACTTGACTCATCTTTTTTTTTTAAAGAATGACACACACAAAATGATACATCATGCTTTCTTATAAAGAATTGAATATGAACATACAGTAATGGGTTAACATACATTTTAATAAAATTTTCATTGTTGTGCATTTCACTGTTCGATACTGGAAACCAGGGATGTTCCAGTAACCTCAGGCAATGCCTAAGGATAAAACAAATCATATGATGGTGAACTATTCTCACCTATTTATTCTTCTACAGGAAAAAAATTCATAAATACAAAAGAAAATCAGATGTACACCAAAAAAATCCTGGTCTTAATATGCCTTGCCCCATACTGATATAATAATATCATAAAAACCAAACAAAAACGCTTTTGTAACTTCCTGAGGACAGAGTATATTGTTTATTTTCATGGAAGGTGATTGTCAGATTGATTTTGGTTCTCCAAAATGACCACAGAAACCTAAGGGTTCAAGTAAGAAGGTCACAGATCATAAAATGCAGGATTTGGTCCCTTAAAAACCTGTACTCAGATTCTTGAGTTTCAGGTCTAGAAACTTTTGATATGAGTTGAAGGCTTGTTATGTTATGTAGTCAGTTAGTTTACAAAGAAATATGCATGTTATTGAACCTGTCCTAGCAGTCAGCATGTCAGGCAGCAAGCTAGATGTAGTTGTATGCCATTTCCTAAGAGGGAAAAACACAGCAGATAAGTGCCCCGGGTAAAATGAAGTGCCTTCTAGAATTTTGTTAAAAAGCAACACCTTATGAAAAAGCATTGCTGATTGTCCCATTTTGACCACTTGGCTATAATGGGGCAGCCCAAATGAAATGTGCAAATGAACTGTGCATCCATTTCCTTTCTGCTGATTTTGAAGGTGTGGAATTGTTGTAGCATTTTATAGGTAAATCGGTAGCTACCATTGTCAAGAAAGATTGAAAGATCAGGCTGCCTGCATATTTGACTAAGAAAAGCTGTTATGTAAAATTCTGCAAAAACTCTATTGTATTAGGAATGATTCTCCTTTATCAGTTGTCAGAGTGATGCTGCTAATGCTATTGCTCTCCAAAGAAGCAGGGGTAGAATCAAAAATCAAGGTAGACAGACAGCATGTTTTGTTTGTTTTTAAGAAAAACACAAATAAACCAAATATTATCACCTGAAATTATTCAGCAAGTGCCAGTAAACTGCCTGTTGGTAGTAAACTTGTACAGACAGATGCACCCTGAAAGGGAGTTTAAATTCTCTATATGTTGCTTACAATAAAGCTGTGGTTCATGAATTAAAAGCAAATATGTAAAGATGCACATTTTATCTCTGTATATCCTTTTAAAGAAGCCCTATGCTCAAGATACATAAAACACAGTCTGTAAAGTGAGATATACATTTCACTGGCACTGACAACTTAGACTTTCAGAGCTGGGAGCCTGAGGAGGAGCTATTCAAGACCTAAGACCTGATGACTCTCTGATTGGCATTACCTGGTACCCTAATTACCAGGAAAGCAAGTTAAGATTTTCAACTCAGCATTAAATCCTTAGTAGTCCTAAGGAGGCAAATGAAAACTCATGTATTTGGAATACTTAACATGAAAACACACTGTGAATAATGGCCGAGGGACTTCAAACTTATTACAATGACAGAGGGGATCATGAGTAAGCATATACATATCTTGAGCCAAGCACTAATCAATAGATCTATAGAAACATAAAGCTTAATTTCAGAACTATTAATGTGGAGAAATAGAATAAAAGGAATAATGCAAATTCACTGCCCATGCTGCATTTTCTAGTAAAAATGCGTTGCACTCTGCTAGCTTGTCAATCTTTAATAGAAACTCATCAATTATTTGTGGGCAGGAGATTGAAACGGCTAATAGCTCAAATATATTCCTCCATTTCATTGCATCAGTAGCTCTAAGTTAATGCCTGTATTTTTCCTCAAATTAAATTTTTTGAAAAAATTAAATGGAAATAGATGCTTTATTTTAGCATACACTTAGCATATAGGTAAACAAGTAAACATTTGTTATTGTCCCCCAACAATTAAAAGAGCAAAACAAAGATATTTTGTCAAGCAGATGAATGTCCAAAAAGGAAAAAAAGAAAGTAATATTTGTACTTTTCAACATGAAAATTACCATAGCAACGCAGATTAAGTAAAATTTCATAAAATCATCACAACAAAGACAATACTCAAAACTTACTTTGCTTCTCTGCTACTGACACCATCTGATACTCTACTACACAACATATATATCGAAATATGTAGTGGGAATACACAGCATTTCCCATGAAAGAGGCTACTTGATTCTGTGTAATTAAAAATGAAGCTTCTCTGACATCAATAGGCACTAAAGCAAATTTATAGGCAGACATAGAACATTTCAGTCAAAAAAGTTAGCCTACAACTTGAGAGAAGGCAGGTTTTGCCAATCACATGCCAAGATTCTACCCTCCCTGACCCCAGTCATCTCTGAGATAGCGGATACTGGCATTCTTTGCACATCAGAAATACGCCAGCAGAGACCATTCATGAGGGAAATAGGAAAGCAAGTCACATTTGAGCAGACAACAAATGCTCCCAAAGCTTGACCCACTACATGCAACAGTAAGTGAGCCGCGAACTCAGCACCCAGCAACGTGAGAATGAACAGGCAGGCACTGCATCACTGACCTAGTCCCTATCCTGCCGCAGGATGCTCAATTCCCTGCACAAAGCAGGTTTAAAAAAATAATCAAAGGAGATTTGCATTATCATTATAAGCCAGTACCCACACAACAGCATAGAACAGATGACACACTTACTGTAATGTCCCATGAAGCAAAGTTCCCATCTAGAGAGAGGCACTGTTTGCATTGTTCCACTCCCTGAAAAAGGGTTAACCATTATGAAGAAACATTATGCCAGACATTAGCAGAGAGCCTACTTAGAGATTACATTTTTCCATACATGATAAATCCTGGGTAACCTGTTTTTCTTTTTAAACACCTTGCAGAGTGAAGCCTAGCACTGCATCTAGTTGCCAAAGCACAATCAATATGGAAGGAGCGGTATTTTATGATTGGAGAAGTTGTTGTGTTTTTGGTGGTGAAATTCATTATTTAGTATCTGAACCCTCAGCATTTCAGTATCATTTATTCATAAAGTCCCTTTTTGCCAGGAGGAAATGGATACAGCTGTAGAGAGAGAGAGAGAGGGAGAGAGAGAGAGGAGAGAGAGGGAGAGAGAGAGCGAGAGAGAGCGAGAGACGGATTGATGATATTGATCAGGTACCATCCTGAAACAAAGGCTAGGTGCTCTATTTTAGTTGACAACTGTGACACATAAAAAACAAGCAAGAGAGGGGGAAGGCTAGGGCCTTGAACATCACAGGCTTTAAAAAACGTTTGAAGAAACCATTATGACAAGCAGGTCTAGGGAAGCTGCTGCAAAAATGTATTCAGAAGAGTCATTAAAAAATGATGCTTTGTTTGCCTTGTGAATATGAGGTTTCCAGCTAGCTGCAGTGCTTGCTCCTACAGAGGAAATGAGGAGGCCTGCACACTGCAGTTACCTGGCTTGCTTTCTTGGGGGGCTAGGGGAGTCGTAAGAGGTGTAGAGAGGGAAAATCCAACACTTTTCTTTCCCTTAAGCCTAATGTGTTTCTCTGGGTCTGGATGCCCCTAGATTTTCCTCCTCAGCAATGGTGCCCCAAAAAGTTGACCATTTTGCTATCAGAATTATTTATTTCTCGTGAAATAGTTGAATAATTTAAACACCTTCGAAGGAGTTAACACACATTACAGCTTCCTTGCGCATTTTTAGTTCAGAGACCGTAAGAAAGAAACATTATTTGAGCAGCACGCAGCTCCTGGCACCAGATCACAGACAGTGTTTTCTCCTGCCCAATCATCCACACGGAGATTTGCCATGGGGTCTAATTGAAATTAGGCAGAAATTCATTATCCGTTCCATCTGAAAAGATGCCCGGAAATCCAACAGACTTAACTGCAGGAGGGTATGTTCTTCTGCAGGTTTTGTGGGGAACTTTCCAGGCATGTGTGTGTACTTTTAAAAAGAAAGTGTCCTGGAAGCTCTCCAAGTCAGCCTTGGGGTGCCTTCTTTGGAGTTCAGGTTAAAAAAAAAAAAAACGTCATGGTAGAAAAGATCATCACAACACTGGCTGCTTGTGGGACCTTGGACCCAAGGATGGCACTCCTGGTGCTCCCCTGAGGACTATGTGTCCCCATAAGCAATATTTGGTTATAGGGGATCCAAAATGGTTTTGCACAGTACAACTTGCCCTTGAAGCGAGGTGACTGGGAAACAGGGGGAGAGGTTGATTTATATGTGTTCCTCTTCAGCTCTCTTGTATTTGCCTAAATCAAAGTGTGATTGCTGTTTATTGGTCTATTGTATAGACTGGCAACTCTGTGTCACCTTGGTTAAATTCCTTGACTTCTCTGATGCTCAGTTCCTCAGTTGTAAACTGAGAAAGAACCTCATAAGTTTTGTTGCCAGAACTGAGCAGTAAGTGGCAAGTATCAAGAAAAGTGTTTTGTGAGTGCATATCATAAATAGAGTTGCTATGAATTTTGTAGTAATATGTTAAAAAAACCTCTCTTGATTGTTAATCTTGGAAGGCAATGCTCTCCACATTGCTTTTCTATTTATATAAAACCACTTGGAAAAGAGAGATGGCTTATCTGGCATTTAGTTCAGTAACAGTGTGGAGACAGGTCCCATGAGGAGACTTAACAATAAATAAGGACCATGAGATGGTGTCGAAGTACATAAATAGGTTTTCTGGATTCTAATGTCTCTTCTAATCTTTTAATCAGTAAAATAATCAGTAAAAGTAATGTTCAAAAATTAGTTTGCCTAACATGACCTTTTTGTGATTTTGATGCATGTTTCAAAATCAAAATACAATTAGAATGAAATGTAAAACATCATTACATAAATTTGTATTCATATTTAAAGTTCTCAGAGTATATTTCACTTGTTAAAGCCAAACAACACTTGAGTAGGAATGCAGATCACATTTAAAAAAATGTTTATTTATTTGAAAGGTACAGTGGCTGAGAGAGAGGGAAAGACAGATTTTCCATATACTGGTTCATTCCGCTAAATTCCTGCAAAAGCTGGGGCTGTGCCAGGTAGAAGTCAGGAGCCGGAAACTCCATACGTGTCTCCCATGTAGAGGACAGGGGGCCAAGCACTTGAGCCATCATCTGCTGTTTCCCAAACACATTCGTAGGCATCTGGATGGGAAGCAGAGTAGTGGGGTTTCAGACCAGCAAGTGGCAGCTTAATCTGCTGTGCCACAATACCAACCTTGGGAATGAAAATCATTTTATACCAATTTTTGAAATAAACAAACAGAATCTCAGTGTTCATTGCATTGTGGTTTTTTGTTTTATTTATGAATTTTTATTTACTAGAGAGAAAGAGAGATCTGGAATGAAGGGTGGGAGGTGGGGTTGGGGGAGAGGGAGAAAACTGTCCATTTCCAGATTCAATTCCCTAAGCACCTGAAATAGCTGGGAATGGGCCAAATTGAAGCAAGAAGCCTGGAAGTCAATTACATGAGTGACAGGGACTCAAGTACTTGAGTATTTGCTTCCTTCCAGGGTGCACATTAGCAGAAAGCTGGATTGGAAGCAGAGCCAGGACTTGAACTCAGATACTCTGATATGGGAGGTCAGTGTCCTAAACAACATCTTAACTGCTGCAACAAATGCTAGCACAGTGCTTGATGTCCTTAAGGGAAAAATTAGTCAAGCTTAGAACTCAGCTGTTCAGAACATTCATGTTACTATCTTCACTCATTTATCCACCCTCCATTCACACAAGAAGCACATATGTTATCTTATTGTGAAGTAGACATTGAGTTATGCACTGTGGCAACATGGCTAATTGTGATTATTGTGTATGCCATTAAATCACAGAGATGTATGTTATACTGAGTGGTCATTTAATATTTTAGGTCTGAGATATCGAAGTGATTGCTCTATTCTCAATATTGAGAAATGTTATTGCTCATGGATATTTTTGAAATTTCTGCAGGGGTTCTGTAAACAGCACCTTTCTCTCTGAGCAGGTCTCTCTATATAAAACAAAGACTTAGAATCTGAAGTAGCGGAAGAACAGCTATTTCCTCTGGGAAAGAATCACTTGCAAGTAGAAAGGAATTACAAATGCAAAAGTTAGCAGTCAATAAGTCACTATGTTTCCCCAGATGTAGAGTGAGTAAAGAAATGAAGTCAAGAGGGTTTAATGAAAATCCATTCACAAGGAAAACAAGTAGAGAAATGGGATTCACCTTAAGAATAGTGAGTATTTGAGATTCCTAAAATTAAATTCTAATTATTCCTCAGGAAAAGTCATTCACTGCTGAACTTCAACAGCTCTTGAAACTTCTGATTTTGGATGGCATGTTGAGTATATAATATAATTTAGCATTTTACTGTTTTCTGAAGGGAGGAGAAAACTTTTACTTTGTTGATCACCTTGTCTAAATACTGATGGAGTTTGTGGGTTCAAAAGGCTTCCATAGCCTAGGCAGCTCCTGTCAAGAGCCCTGGGTGATCACCGAGGTCATACATAATAGTGTTGATTGTTAAATTAACAACAGGAATCACTGTGCACTAATCTTCAGCTCAGGAGCTCTGCCCTCCGAAGAGTTGTATTAGGAGAGTTAGCAATAAAACTTGTTTTCAAATATTTATTTCATTTTACTGTATTAAGTGGAGGTTATACGTATGTCTCACATATTTTAGTTAGGTCAAAGTGTCCAACTCTATTGCTTTTTTTAGGTGCTTATTTAATTAATGACAAAACTTGTTCCCAAAGACTTATTTTCTTTTAATGTATTAAGTGGAGGATACTCTTATGTCTCATAAGCTACAGTTATGTCTAAGTGCTTGCAAAATATGTATCATTCTTGGGTACCTTTTTAAAGTTAGTTAATTTTCTCAACAAACATAAAAGAAAAAAAAGAGGTGAAATTAATTTTGAGAGACAATGACTTTGAACAGCCCTTGTCTCAACTGTTGAGAAACAGTTTTTTGCTTCTTTTTTTCTTTATCATACAAACTGATGAACGCTTTACTTACTATAGACTTAATCCTCTGTGCAAAAAGTTAATTGAAAATAGATCTTAGTATATAACAAGACTTGGAAAAGGAAAGGAAGAAAATAGTTGGGAGTGTGGGTGGGAAGGCAGGCATGGTGGGAAGAATCACTATATTCCTAAAATTGTACTTAAGAAATGCATGAAGTTTGTATTCATTAAATAAAAGGTTTCTCTGAGAAAATTAGCATTTTACAGTTATAAAATGTGCATTTAAAATTGAATTAATAAATACACAATTATACTTCAATACATGGGAATCTCTTGCTGAAGAAGTAGATCAATATATAGCAACCTTAGCTTATTGCCAGCTGTTCATAACTGCTTCTTTCTCTGAAACATATAGTAGTCTCTCAGTTCTTCTTAAAATAAAAATAACTAATCATGAAACTATTAATATAAATGTATATCTACATATAATATATTTAAGTAAGTAATATTCAATAAATATACTATAAAGTTAAAATGAAATGAAATGAAAACAAAAGAAAAGTGATGATAAGTGAAATACAAAAGAAAAATTAATATATACGCAAAACATAGCTAAAAGGGCCAAATCTTAGTACGCTAGAGAACAGAATTGGAAGAAGACAAGGAAAATATTTCAATCAATGTTGACCAAGAATTTCCTAGTCTAAAGAAATTCACATGTCTTGAAGTTTGTGGCAAAGAATTCACACTACTTGTATGGTATCAGAAATCCTCAGCAGAAAATTTTTAAATGGCAGGTATTGGGAAGAAGCAAACAAATATTCTTTGGAGAACTAAATCTTAAAGATACATCTTAAAGAATTCCTACAATTTAC